GAATTTATCGTTTGGTTCTGCGGCATGAGTTCAAAATACAAAATTCCTTTGTGATCCCCCCACCAGACTGACAGCATAATCTTTTTGGGGGGTGAATCTCTGCTTTTGATACTGTTTGGGCTGGTTGATTTTGCTTCACCCATGATCTCTTGCGAGTAGCATTGTTATAAACTATCCACTTTTCGTCGCCAGTAACTAGGTTCTTCAGAAATGGATCATTCTCATTGCGTTTCAGTAGCGGCGAATCACAGATGCTAATTCGTTGCGTCAAACGAATTTCCTTTAACTGGTGAGGGATCCATAAATCAAGTTTCTTGACATAACCAAGGGTTTTCAATTTTTCTTTCAATGCATGTGTGCGACACATTGAGCTTCTCTGCAATATCTCGTGTTGTGCTGTGACGATTTGAATAGCCTTGATAATGGCCTTGATATGGGTTTCATCCACTTCGACTGGGCGGCCAGATCGTTGTGAATTTTTCAGTGAAAAATCACTGGAACGAAATCTTTCAAACCAATTTCGACACTGCCTTTCTTTTAAGGCTTCATCTCCATATACGGCACATAACTTCTTCTTTTGTGCTTGCGATGCGTTCTTGCCTTTTCGGAAGTAATACAATAAAATGTGTCGGAAGTGCACGTCCTGTTCTTTCATTTTTAAATTGGGATAAAAACAAAACTAAAGAACTAAACAAAAAAATTTATTACTAATTAACCTAGAAGCCTATACAGTAAGAAAAAATATAGGTTAGATGCTCTGGCCACGTTAACAAAACAAAAGAAAATATAGAGTGAATCCGTCAACAAAAACGGCAATGACTTAGTTGCCGACCCAATAGTATGAAATGAGTAACAGAACAACATACTTAATCGTATAGTCAAATTGAAGCAAGAATAGCTCTCCTGCAGATTTATGAAAACTTCAAATTGCATTTTTTTAAACTAGTCATGCATTTTTACTGCGCCAAATTCTTTCTTGAAGTGCACTAATTGGCAACTTTTCCTTTAAAAATGTTGAAGACACTTCAAAATTAAGGATTGCTCTCCAAGATGATATAATGTTTGCAATGCATGGACCAGTCGCGATGTCTTTCCACACAATGAAGGCCTTAATCAGGAGAGTCCGATGTCTTTCAACACAATGAAGGTCTTAATCAGAAGAGAATTCCAGAACTCAAGGTGCAACGAATTTAAAGCTCGAACAAAGGAGAAAACATACCTCAAGGTGCAACGAAATTAAAGCTCGAACACAGGAGATAGATCTCAAGTTGCAACGAACTTAAAGCTCGAACAAAGGAGAAAGTCAAGGTGCAACGAACTTAAAGCTCGAACAAAGGAGAACAGTTGGCACTCTCCGATATAACCGACTGGCCAGGAATCGAAGCCGTTGCCGACTGGCCAAGAATCGAAGCCGTTGCTGAGTCTTACCTCGAAGAAAGGAGAAACAGTGGACAGTGGCACTCTTCGAACCGACTGGCCAGGAATCGAAGCCGTTGCTAGAAGCTCGAACAAAGGAGAAACAGTGGACAGTGGCACTCTCAACATACCCGACTGGCCAAGAATCGAAGCCGTTGCTGAGTCTTAGACTTTGGCCAAGAATCGAAGCCGTTGCTGAGTTTAGACTACGTACGGACGGATTGCCTGGCAAAACACCTTCAAAGATTGGGAGTATACACTCAACCATCAAAACACCTTCACAGATTGAGAGTATACACTCAACCCACATATACTCTATGTAACCTACAGGAGGAAATGGAGAAGTCCCACCTGTCTATGTGACCTACAGGAGGAAACGGAGAAGACCCACCATATGTAACCTACATGAGGAAATGGAGAAGACCCATCTGATCTGTAACCTACAGGAGGAAATGGAGAAGACCCACCTGATGTGAAACCTACAGGAGGAAATGGAGAAGACCCATCTGATTCTTAATCTAAGAGAGTATACACTCAACCCACATGCCCTCTGTGTAACCTACATCAAAACACCTTCACAGATTGAGAGTATACACTCAACCCACATATACTCTATGTAACCTACAGGAGGAAATGGAGAAGTCCCACCTGTCTATGTGACCTACAGGAGGAAACGGAGAAGACCCACCATATGTAACCTACATGAGGAAATGGAGAAGACCCATCTGATCTGTAACCTACAGGAGGAAATGGAGAAGACCCACCTGATGTGAAACCTACAGGAGGAAATGGAGAAGACCCATCTGATTCTCTACAGGAGAAAATGGAGAAGACCCACCTGATTCGGTGTTCAAAGGAGGAAATGGAGAAGACCCACCTGATTCGGTGTCTAGCGGAGGAAATGGTGATGACCCACCTGATTCGGTGTCCAGCTCTAAAGACAACGCAGACCCACCTGATTCGGTGTCCAGCTCTAAAGACAAGGACATGGAGATGATTCGGTGTCCAGCCCTAAAGACAAGGACGGAAACCAAGAGATACTGGGAAGCAAGAAGACAGCTATTAATTAACTGCTATAGATGTACCCCCCACCAATGGGGGAAGCTAAAGTCAAAGTTTAAGGGCCAATGATAAATATAATAAAGTCTCCCATTTGAAAAAATGTTTGCTCTAGGTGCCATTCACGTCTTACCGGAGTAAGATATTCATTTGAAATTCACAACAGTAGACATATCGGCATTGGTCAAAATAAGCAAAAGTTTAAATTCTTTTACAAGATTATATAACTAATTTTTTATCATATTCTACTAATGCAGAGCTCATAAATTGTCTGATGAAACTCTTCAATGGTGTTATTATTAGATGTTGGAGTCTAGCGTTTTGGGAACTGTGTACCGGAAATCCAAAATACCTAACACAACACAAGCTACTTGATCATATCGCACTTTATACCGAATGAAGCTGGGGCGAGGGGGGGGGGGGGGTAGGAACTAGAGTTGACTATCTGGATCTAGTTTTCTGGTTATCAGAATTACCTGATTAGATTCACTTATCCAATTGTCAGTTAAGGTATTCGAGCTCATCGATTGGCATACAGTGCTGCAAAGATGTTTGATGAAACGGACGCTTTTTTAATTCAAGAAACTTTAAATTATCACGTTAGTATCAATCTGTAGGATCGTTATTTTCCAGTTAGAATGCCATGAGAACGTGGTTACCAAGTAGCACTGCTTAAAAAAGGAGAATTTGAGAGAAGGACTAAAAAGTGCGGAAAGAGACCATGAAAAAACTCAGGAATACAGCCTCTGCACCTACAGCCCTGCAACTGGGGGCCTTCTGTCATACCTGGTGGAAATGTGAATCATTGAGTAAGAGGCCGGACACGAAATCGATAGGCGAAATACTCTCGAAATGTGTTAGACGAAAGCACCTCTAACTATCATAAAAATGTAATCATGATTACTTCCTAAAACACTTTAAATTAACACTTCGATCAAAAGCCGAAGGAATTTATTTGTGAAATCCTCCGTATTTTTTCCCTTCCATAAAAGCCGCTTCTTTGTCGACATGATAAATTGGAGGGTCGACACATCGGATAATTTGGAAGTAAAGCCTACCATTAAAGCGATTACGTGTTATTGTTGCGTTCTGGGGTCTTTTGCTATTTTGGAAGGGCTAATTAGGTTATAGCAAAAGGATTAGCTACCCCTTGTTAGTTAACAAATTTATCAATTGGAATATTTTTTAAAATATTTTCCATCCTGAATATATCCGAGAATATTGCCCGACAACTCGCATTAATGGGCTTGAAAATGGAATCTTAAACGCTCAATTAAAAGCCCAATTTTGGCTCTTTTTACTACCCTCATTTCTTGAAGTAAAATTTTATTTGAACCGAAAAAATAATTCATGTAATTTTAAATTTTTCTTATCAGCAGCTTTGCACTCTTCAAAAATTCAAAAATGCCAGTCAACTTTCGAGGCATAATTTGCACTGGACTAAGAGAAATTCAAATTCGCTTTGAAAAAATCGGGATTATAAAATTTATGTTCATTCAAACTTTCACTTATGAAAACAAATAACCAGTGAAATTGTCAACGAATTAACTTCATTTTTGAGCACAGACCGGACAGAACGTAAACAAATATTTCAAGAGATTGAAGAGGAAAGTCATACCTCCAACTCCAAAGAAATAAAACCTTAAAAATTTCACTGGCATATCGAAAAAAATATATAATTTAATGCAATAATGTGTAATTTAAAATTTTTGTTTTTGTGACAAAATCAAATTTGAATTTGCTTCTCCCTATACTTTAGACTTCATTTTATTTATTTAACCAAATCAACTTCAAAATGTTGAATTGGGTGGGTCAATAAAATAACCTAGCTTATGAAAGTATCATTGCTTCGTTTGGACAAATTTGTGTTGTAATTGCGATAGTTAGTGAAAAAAATAGTACTTTATTGATGAAATTGTCTGCAATCGGTTTACAGTAAGCTCAACCGGAGGGTACCATTGAGTATGTAGCCAATTGCTACTTTATTAAAGCCTGACTGACTCAGAAATCTCTATGGCAGATTCTCTACATCTAGCTAGACTCCCAGAACCAGCTAAACCATAGCCCAGCTATAAAGGAAACAGACGAGTAGCACGGAGTTATAGCCCGTCTATAGAGGAAACAAACGTATAGCACGGAACACGTTTATACAGTAGGGTTATTTTGAGTAAAATGCATACGCAGGGAGCTTAATCATGATCAGAATGGGGGATTAGGTTAAAC